TACATCTTTGAAAAACATTTTTATGATGTGTGAAATGCATTGAAAAGAATTTTAGCCTAAAGAGCCAAGGTGTAAAGATTGGGTCGGTCTTGATCACAATAAAGACCGACTCAACGATGCTAAGACTAAGGTCTTCGTTCTTGGTCTTCGTTTGGCTCTTGTTCTCTTTCTTATCATCTTTGGTTCTCGCCTTGTATATTCAATGACTTGTCTCGTTCACGGCGGTTTGGCATTATCAAAACCTGTCATAACAACGAACGCGGCTTTAGTACGAAAACATGATAAACCCGTGTTTCAACAATTTCCCCCTTTTTGATAATGGCAAACAAGACGGGGTTATGCATAGGAGGATTGATTTGAGACTTAAAAAATGTCCCCCCTTAATAAATGCAATTTAGAAATAGTTCCCCCTCAATCTATGCATAACCTTTATATCTTCCCCCTTTTGACATTAGCAAAAAGCACTTCAAAAAAAATTGTAAAAAAAAGAACTCCTTGAACATTGATGTTTGATACTGAACATCGATATTTGAAAATGTCCTGGAGCATCAATTGTCAACAATATCGTAAAACGAGCTTCCCCCTTGATGCGGTTCATTGGGTTCCGTGCTTGGAGCATCCACTACAGGTTTGTAGTCTTCAAGCACACCTTTTTGTGTATCTAGTAATACCATTGAGGTACCCAATAGCTTTTGGGTCCTTGGGGGTTAGGCAAATAAAAATCATAATCATAATTATAAGAAGTGTCCCTATGTTTAGCAAAACACACGGGAGCTATGTGTCCTATCTTAGAACAATAATGACATACTACGTTTGGATTATGCATATGCCTAGGTTGAGCCAAAAACTTTGTAGGTGATCTAAAATCATTATTCATAGAATTATTAACTAAATTCCTAGACTCATTTCTAGGTTGTCTCAAAATATTTCTACCATTTGTAAAAATCCTAGAGTCAATTCTAGGTTGTCTCACCTTGTTGCTTTTATTCTTTCTAAAATTAATTTTGTTATACCTAGGATTATTAGTTCTTCTAGGTGGTTTATCATTCTTAACTTCTACCTTAATTTTTTCAATGGTGCTCTTAAGTTCTATATTCTCTACTTTTAAAGACTCACAAGAGGAACAAGTAGAACTTTGGTCAAAGAAAGAATCTTCATTCATTGCCTTAATTTTATTTTTGAGGTCAAAATTATCATTTTCCAAAAATTTATTTTCCTCTTCCAAAGCATGAATTTTTGCCTTAGCCTCTTTGGCAATTTTTGAAGATTTCTTTAATTCACCAAATAATTCTTGAAAGGCTTCTTGTAATTCTTCAAATGAGAAAGATTTAGAAGCACTTACCTCTCCATTTCGTTCATGAGCCATAAGACATAAGGTGGCAGTTTCGTCACCAGAACTTTCCGAATCCCATGCCATGTATGCTCGTTCCTTCTTTTTCTTTTCCTTGCGGTTTGGGCAATATGGCTTTATGTGGCCAAGTTCTCCACAACCAAAGCACGTTGGAACAGGTTCCCCCTTTCTTTTACAATCTCGGGACCCAAGTTCTTCCTTCAAAAACTCTTGGAACTTCTCGAGCAAGTTATAAGAAGGATTATGGTCATCGCTATCGGAGTCACTTACCTCTACCCTTTTTGAGGATGAGGCTTTGAGAGCGAGACCGGGACTCTTGTCAAGAGAAGGTTTAAGAATAGT